AAAAGGAAAGCCGAAGCTTGTGAAGGTCGAAATCCTGATGCGGATTTCCACAAAGAACACCAAACGAGGAAAGTGGTGGACAACTGGGTCCTCCAGTAGAGGGGTTAGAATAAGGGTACCAACTTTTCTGTGTAGTTTATTTTAGTAGGGGAACCCTCCCCCAAAAAAAGAATCCGTAAAAGGGCACCAAGCTGGGGGACCTAGACAACTTCTGATTTCGACCAGACCCGTTGGCACATGCCCCGGAACCCCTTGGCCCGGCCCGTGTCCGGCCTTCAGCTCGGAGACATGCCACTCCTCACCTTGAGGTCTGCATGGTTCCCTTTGGAGGGTGCGTCCCTTTGGAGGGTCCACCGAATAAGAACAAAACTAGATATTTGGACTTGGTTGCTGCAACGACCCCCTGCAAAAAGTTTGTCACTTTTTGGGGGTTTGGTGGAAAACCCAACTTGATTTCCCAAAAAGTTAAAGTCTGAGGATCCAACCTAGTAGCAGTCAAGGCTGGGCGGCGAAAAACCAAAAAAAAAGAAGCCGACAGGCTCACAGCTTCACGCCCGGAAAGGTGTGGGTTTTGGCCGGGATCCTGTGGTTTCCCATCTACCCTCGGCTAGGCTAAGACGTCGTGTACCTGAAATGTTGCCTTTTGTTAAAGTCCCGTCCCTTTATTTGAGGTCCTGATCTTTCCAATGGAGGGTCAGATGCTTAGGGTGGCCGCCCCAAGGCAGCTTCAAGACCAGTGAAAGCATGGCTTGAAGGTTTTGGGGTACAAGACCAGAAGTCATGAGGCTGTGAGTCAAAACCCTGTACCCCCAGTGAACATCCCAAATTCCCACTAAAATAGACAAAAAACGGGTGGTGCACCTACCCCAAAATGGTACCAGTGGTTTTGACCCATGGCCATGAGAATAACAACTGGTGTAATTTAACCACTGATAGTCCCTTTGAGAGCGGTAGAGCCAACGAGAAAACAAGGGAGTCCCCTAGTTTGACACACCATATGAGTGAATGAGAAATTGAGCTACGGGATACTTTAAAACCAAGTTGAGTCATGTTATGTCATGTTCATAGAAGCAGAATGATTGTAAGCTACTCGCCGCTGATGCAACAAAACTTCACTGCCAGTATGTAGGTCAGCAACCGACAATATTACAACCGGAAACCGGTCGGGACATACTCGAAGTACCGGAAACCCGTCAGTGCTTGATTGCCAGCGAGGGAGGAAGCAACTTTGGTTCCCACTTGCCTCAAGGGGATAGGGGAATTGGGATATCATTCTTGGTTAATGTCCGCGATGGGCAATCAATCTGCAATTGACTAGCACAGCGATTGAGTGCCCAGTGGGACTGGAGGGGATAAGATGGCTGGCCTGTTCGGCCAAGCTGAGATCAATGTCCAATCTGATGCATGGCCTCTTGCATCCCTAGCAGAGTCAAGCTGCATGTGTACGGTCAAGGCATGTTGGTCACCTCTCAGCTTCCTTCGCTCATAGTTGAGAGCTTCTTAAACTGCATTTCGGAACTTCCTTTGGTATGCAAAGGAGCACCCGAGGGAACCAACCATTCGTGAGGATACCTATCTCAAACCCCCCCCGGCCCAAGGCGCCCAGCTCCATTGTGAGGATCTCCTCGCCGCTGGCGGCGCTGACCACCGTAACCGCCACCATGGCGCGAAGGCGCGAAGCCGCGCCCCGCGGTTTTCCTTCTCGGGGAGAGGATGGCGCCCGCGAGGGCCGAGGAAAATCAAGGGACTGCACGACGTCAAGCTGCATTTGTTACTATAACTCCAAAAGCTGATTTAAGGGATCTTCAAGTAAAGGACCTTTGTCATGGTGAGCTCGTTTTGCCCCCAGCTCGCGCCACAAAATAGGCGGATAATCAGCAAACAACCGGGGTCTAATTACCCACAGTTGCCTTGTGGAAGAAGCGGCTGAGGATGGCAACGACCAAGTGCGGCAAATGCCAGGTGCCAAAAAATGCCGCCCCCCCCCCATTGCAATCAGTGACCCGGCCATGGAACCGGATCTTTGTCAAATGGAAATCCGCAGTTCCGAGTTGTTTGGCAAAGTTGGGCTTCTCTGCTGCAGTTTCCCAAGAAATTAAAGAATTGACATGCAACATCGTCCGGAAAGGGCATGCGCCGGGCGAATTTGCACGCAGTAGGAAGCTGGCTTTCCAGTCAGCCTGCTGGCAATCTCGACTGCAGTATCGCACCTGGCCGGACACGTGACACATGCGCACCATACCACCTATGCGCACTTAGAAGTTTCGCTTAGAGCACACCGAGAAAACGACACTGTCAGCATTCAGTTGTGTTTGCACGAGGGCAGCAGCTTGAAAAAGGCCAGCCTGGACAAGGCCCCTCCTGTGCCCCCCGAAAATGTGGCACATGCATCCCCCACATGGAACCCTCAAGCCAGCCACCCCGATGGCCTGCTTGCAGCGGCCACAAGCCGCCGTGCTCGCCTTGTGATCACACGGGCAAACTGGGATCCCGGGTCACTCGCTGAGGCAATGAACAAATGACCAAAGACTCTCCCAACAAAACATGGGTTGGTGCACGTCTGGCCCAGGTTAAGACGAGTTTCCTCCTGGAATTTCTGTGGTTGGCTTGTAACTGGCTTATGAACCAGCTCATTGAATCACTCTAGTTGCAGAACCAACACACCAGCTACCAGCTGATTGCCGAACTACATCACCTGCTGGATGGTGCCAAAGGCAAACTAAGAGGGTTGCGTATTTTGGAAACACAAACAAAGGGCGGTACTGTTGTGTATTTGTACCTGGTGTTGTTCTTTCTCTGGCTCACCATGGAGCCCCACAAGCCTTCGGAGTCTGCCCGCAGCGTGCCAAACCCAAGCGGGACCCCTAGCACGAGAATTACAACGGGCATATGGGCTCGGTTAGGGGGAAGAACAAAAAGGGCCTGACCATCCCTGGTAGAACCACCCGCTACATCCAGTAGAGGTTTTGGGCGCCCAATTGGGCTGAAACAAGTGCAAAACCGCAAGAAAAAAAGACAAATAAAAAAGAAACAATGTTGAGGTGTCGGGCGCTCAATTGGGCGGGCCTCCATCATGGGGTCAGAAACGTGGCTTGCTCAATCCAGGTTACTTCCCAAGACCCCGTATCGCAGGGGCAGAGCAAGGCAGCAAGCCCCTCAAGCCTTCCCTTGCTTTAGCTCAGGCATTAGCCCCCAGCGCTTTGCCACAGCGCCCGCAGTTGCTATGCCTCAGGTCACACGGGCCCAAGTTAGCCTCTGAGAATTTCAGATTCTGCTTTGTTCTACTTGCTCCAATTGTTTCTGACCTTTCTAGCAATTCTACTTGCTTTTAGTCAGAATAATTAGCTATCCTTCCCTCCAAAACGTTTCGCCTTCATGGCCCGCTTTGTTCTTGGGCACACTAGCTTGTCAATCGAAAGCTCCTCACTGGGAACGCGCCAAAACAAAGCGAGACTTGCTCTTGCATGTGTGCTTCAAGAGGAAACCTGCATGAAAGCAACCACTTACACAGGTCCAACTCGTGCTGGCAGGAAGTGCCTGGTCGTGAAACTCACACTCAAGCTCCTATCTTGAACCTATCCGCTCCACGGGCTTGCCGGTGTTAAGATTCTGCAAGGACTTACCGGCCTGAAACAATTACCATTCCACATGGTAAGATTGGTGTGGACCTCAAACCCCCTCCACCCCCCCCCAAAAAGAAAAAAAAGGCATCGCTTTTCTTTTCGGGTTTTTGCCAACCACAAAGGGGTGTACCAACCCGAAAAAAACCGAGGAGCCACGGGGTCTCATTTTCCCAGCCGTTTCTGCCGGCGCGCAGCTCGGATCGAGAATCCTGGGCCATCCCCGCAGCTCTGCGAGCCACGCGCTCAGCTTTGCCACCCTCTCGCCGGTATTGGCCACCTGCAACAAATCGCCTAGAGGAAATGCAGAATCCATGGGGTCCCCTTCAGGAGGTGGCGAATTGTTGGGGTTGCTCAAATTGCTAAATTTGTGGGGTCCCCTAAGGGAGGACAAATCCTGAATGCTCCATCCCCTAGACTTGTCCTTGAGAAGAACATCCCCAAAACCGGCTACTTCGGTGGGAAGCAGGGCTATGTGGCCCAAAAACGGAAGGTGGCAATGATAAAGGCAACCATATTGAAACGGACCCTTTAGGAGCTTGACATCTAGGTCGAAAGCACACTGGGCCTCAACACCTGGGTTTGTCTCTAGGGCAACTCCAACACAGATGCTTGCCCATCGATTTCCCTGAGCAAGCCAACAAAGGGTAGACGCTGTCCAGATGCTCACATCATCCCGCGCTCCAATCTATGTCACGTTGCATGGTGATGGTGATGTTGGTACCCACCTTGCAAATCTTCATAATCCGAACTACCAACTAAAACCGCCGCCTAAACACGTCTATTCCAGAACCACCGACGTTGATTAGGCAGGGTTTGGCCCAGCTGTTGCCAATTGCCCCACCATCCGGTGAAGCGATGTGTTGCATAATATGTTCCCCCAAGGAAACAACAATACTGCTTAACCTCGACATTAACATTTAACATGACGTTTGGTAGAATTGGAGTGGGTGACAAAATAACGATACTCGTGAGCTGGGTGCCAAATAAATGCCAATTCTGCAAAAATACACTGCGAGTGCTGACAAAAGCACCAGGCCGGCCAACCAGGGTTGTTTTGTGGCTCAAGGCAACGGCGCGATGCCTTTTGGGCTCTACTTTCTTTTCTTGTTCGTGGGGGGAAAGAGTTATTCAGCTTGGAGTTTCCGGGTTCGCCTTTTGTCGCTCGTGCCATTTTGGCCCGTGCGAAGGGTGGCCGGCGCCCGACGCCCGGCCATCGCCCGAAAGAATTTCCGGTCGAGTGCCCGCGGCCTGCGCGACGCTGGCCCCGGTGGCCTTGAAGATGGGCAGCAGGAAGTCCTGCAGCCTAAGGGCCCGAAGCCCAAGTCCCACTGAGGGGCCCCGTTTTTCCGTTGGAATGGAATGAATCGGGGGGCAGGAAACCTCGAAACCAGAAGTCATGATCGTAGAGGCAACCTGCTTGGAAAATGTGTCGCTCCTCATTTGCTTTGCTTCGGTGCGTTGTGTTGCTTCCAATGGGGTGGCGGGTGTTGCTGTCAATTGAGTTGAGCCAGTTGCTTCTGCAAGGCTCCCATGAAATCAATCCCGGAGATGATTATACAATTCAATCGATACACACTGGAGAAGGAGAAAGCCATCCCAAAACAAATGCCGGATGAGAGTAGGCTTTTCTGGGTAAGCGGCTTGCCGGTCCTCAACTGATCCAACAACGGCCAGTCAATGAAGCCCAGCTTGGCAGATACTTTGTGGCCGAGTCTTTGACAGATCCTGGTTCACTCGACTGCGCAGACTCGGAGAGCCCAGCCCTGCCTTTTTCGGGGGTCTCTTGGATTGACGCTTGAGTGGGACGCTCCCCGGCATCCCCAAACCATCCACCCTTTGCAGGTTCAATGGGAAACCACAGAAATTAACGAACGATGTACTTTCCCTCCGTGGTGGAACCTGACAACCCAAATCATCTTGCAGTGCCCGTGTATGGTTTTTTTCCGGCCTTTTTGGGGTTGGTGTAAAGGGAAACCAAAGGGAAACACTGTTTTTTTTGGGTACCTTTGAGACACGTCACTCAACAAAAATGGTCTCCTTGCGGCTTTCTTCCGTAACACTACCCTACAAGGGCCAACTAATGGCATTGGGGCAATCCTCAGTTCGTGTTGTTTACCATTGCTTAAAGTCAGCGTCAACATGAAAATGCAACATGCGTCACAACGCCTAATAGACCAGTCACTGGACATGCAACAGCCAGTTCGTCAAACAACTTATTGTTTCGTGGCCTTTATTTGGACAAGTTCCTGGACATGTGCTCGTGGCTTCCATGACGTCCACGCAAGACCACGTACTGGGGACGATGCTCAAACAACAAGGGATTGTAAACACAGGGGTCCCTGCATGTGGTTTGAGTTGGGACAATTCCCTAATAAACACTTACAAGTGTCTGGGCTGTGTTGAATGGACCTCATGCATAGCATCGGCGAAGCTCCCTGTGTCAGTGTCAGTCATGACCATGGTTCCCTCATTAGGAAACCTTACCATTGCCATCTGAAACCGTAACAAGGTTAAGACATCAGAAAGCTCTGTGAAGCTTGTTGTTGGGAATGTTGTTTTACACATGCACATATGTTGCAGACTTGTTCTGATTTGCAGGTTTGCTTTTTGAATTGGCCTTCCGCATGAACAAACAAACGTAAAATACACGTAAATAACACTCCCAAAACAATTTTACGTACATCCAGAAGTAAGCACATTAGAAAAAAAACAAAGTAGAAAGCACCGTATGTCACATTACTTTTGGTGCAAACCGTTGTGAGTGCCAAGATTGCCTGGCAGAAGGCACCTTTGAGACATAACTGCAAAACAAATTGTACATACTACGTAAAATCAGAAACTAAAGGCAACTTAATCGTTCAAAACACAGTAAGTATATTCATTGCCTCTCAAACTCATCGTAAGTCGTAAACGGAATCCAAGCCTTGTTTCGCGCTTCTTGGCGCACGGCGTCTGTAAGTATCCCCGGTTCTGCTTCAACAAGCACAACCAAGCCTTCCAAAGACCTGGTTAAGCGAGGCTTTACCCTCCAATTGCTGTC